GAGAAAATTTTTGATCTATTGTTTTCCATTGAGAAGAATCTGCCGGGTGACAAAACTTTCCATCACATATTTTCTCATCGAAATGCCATCTCAAGTTCTTTGCATCTGTGGCATTAGCAAATAGATGCTTAAATCATGGTATTATTGGAAGATACCACAGAACCTTTAAAGGAGAACCTTTGGTCATCTCATTATAATCACCATCATCTTTCTTCATTTTGTATCTTGAAGTCCCACATTTAGGGCACTTATTCAACCCTTCATAATCATTTCTAAATAATATGCAGTTATTAGGACACGCATGTATCTTCTCATATTCTAAACCCATCGGACACAAAATCTTTTTTGTCTCATACATTCGTTTCGGAAGTGAATTCCCTTTGGGAAGAATATCACTCAGCAATTCAAGCAATTCCGTAAAATTAGCATCGGTCCAACCATTTCTTGCCTTCAAATTCATCAGTTTCAATACGGTTGTCAACCTTGTGTAATCATCTTTGCACCCTGGGTATAAAGGTGTCTCTGCATCACTACACAGAGTTTCAAAGGTGGAAGAGAACTGTGTAGAGGATTCAGACCTTATATCACGAAACATATCCGAAATTCTATCACCAAAGTCTTCATTTACAACCTTCTCATTTGCAGACAGTGTAGTCTTTCTAATTTCTCCATGCCATATCCAATTTGTATACCTCAAATTTATCCCATCACAGATAAGATGTTCTTTTATCTCAGAAATACTCAATCGACTATTGTTTAAACATTTGACACAAGGACAATAGTACAATCCATCTCTTTTACTAGGGGCATTTCTCTGAGCAAACTCAAGAAACTTTTCAACCCCATCCTCATATTCTTTACTAATTCTCTTAGCTTTCATCCAACTACGATCCATTGTTCTACAGATTATTTAAACAACACTTTACTATCAATCAAAATTCATAACAAAGAAAAAAAAACACAAAATAACAAACAAATTATTTATTACTAAATTCTTATATTTATTACAAAAAAATTACCAAAAATTCGAAATAAATATCAAAAAATTATAAAAAAATTTAAAAACTTCACAACTAATCAACTCCAAACATTTAAACATGTTTTTAATACAATATATAAGAAGGAATTAAGGTTTTCTCACATCCAATGGCCACCAATCAACACCAATCAATGGTTCAACCACATAAAAAATGCAAAATGAACAATACAAGCCAACCACAATGTAAAACTAACAAACCCATTTCATATATAACAGATTTTCATGGCCAAAACATTCAACAAACCAAGAAAAATTGAAAAGAATAAAAGAAGAGGATACTCACAGAGCAGAGAAGACTCAAATGCGAAGAGAGGGCGTTCGAACTGCGGCAGACGGTGGCAGACGACGGCGGACGCACCACAACCTCAATGGAGGAGTTTAAACGATGGGATATTGGGGGGTATGACCGGTTTCGGTGGTGGGACAGAGGGGACCACGGCCGAGCAAGAATGACGCGAAATGAGGGGCGTTCGAACCACGGCGAACGACGGCAAGGCACCACAAGCTCAATGGAGGAGTTTAAACGGTGGGATAGTGGCGGGAATGGCCGGTAATGGCAGTTTTTCGGTGGTGGGGCAGAGGGGGACCACGGCGCACTGAAGAAATGAGAAAGAAAGTGACGGAAAGTCGAGTGGAGAAGGTAAAGTATGTTCACTTTCCACAGCGGTTTTCTTAAAAACTGCCGTGGAAAATAAGAGCCTCTTCAACTTATTTATAAAAATGTCACCGCCTTTTTTTCATGTCGTTTTTCTGCTTAATCGCCGTTATTTTGCGACGTTAAAAGTGTTTTTTCTAGTAGTGACACTAAGATATATGTGGATAGCTTCATCATCTACTTTTTTTTTTTTTAATATTCTGTTAATTAAATTGTGCCTCATAATTTTAGACGTGGCACATCTTTTCTATTCTCAGAAGTCATTTCAAATTCAAAGACATTATAAATAATTATTTGATTATTAAAAGAATAAGAAAGTAACTGTACAGAGGATGGATATGAAATATGAGATATAAGAATAACGAAAGGAAGGGGTCAAAATAGGAATCTTATACCTTAATATGATGAATAAGGATCTCCAATTAATCATACATCAATAAAAATAAATATCTCCTTTGGAAATCCCATTATTATCATTTGAACGAACTGAAGAAGGTTTAACCACAAAATATAAGGGAAACTTTCTTATATTTTCTGAGTGATAGGTGTGGGATTGAGTTATAAGTAAATTAAAAGTTGGATGACTAAAAAATTAATTTTCCATTTATATGTTATACTATGAATAAAACCACTTTCTCCTTGACCATACATTCATGGGCTTAGAATTTATAAGCATTTGTTTTTAAGAACCATTGAAGTTAGTTTGATTTTTAATTTGGTCCTAAATATAAAATCTCAATTTATTTTATTCATTTTTCTCAAGATAGTTTTTATAATATATGCACATGTTAGATATTTCATCACATAAATCTTGATTAGTAATGGTATTTTAGAGAAGACAATACATATTTATTACAAATAACTAACTCAATTAATTTTCTTAATCTACTCAAATTAGTTAACTAACTCTTATATTAAGAACATGATGCAGTAGTAAAAATTATTAAGGAAAAGTAGAGATAATTTATTTATAAGCTTTTGAAGCGCATGGACATGTTTGAAAAAATGTGTAAATTAAATAGAGGGGCTAATTTATTAATTATTTTTTAAGATGAATAAAGGTTACAAGAATAACAGAATGAGTAAAATAAAATATTCTTTCGATCCTAAATATAAGACCCTTATACTAGTGTGTATAAGAGTCTTACATTTAGGACCGGACGAGTATTTAAAGTAATAGTCCTACTAATTCTTATGGTCTTATAGTCAGGATTGGAGGAACTATTATATTTTGGGTGCTGCAAAGGTTGTCTTGGCTAATTAACTAGTTAAGAATTGATATAAGCCATCAACACACAAAGTTTTTGTAGAATATTGCCAGCTATACGTACCAAATTATTAAAAATAGGCCTAAATCTAGAGGTGGGAATCAGGACCGTCTCTTCAGGGTTGGCGGGCTTAAAAGGGCCAACCCTCTATGGCTGAAATTTCAAAAATACCACAATTTGCTAGGCCCAGTCCTTAAGCTAACGGATTCAAGACCGGCCCGCAGGCTTTTGGCCTGTTTAAGAAAAAAATACTATTTTTTTTATATTTCTCATATTTTTTTAATCAAAAAATAAAAATAAACCAATGAAATTGTTAATAAAAGATATAAATATGAATAAAATTAAGTCACAAATACAAAATATCATCATATATAAATATCTATCAACATCTAAGAACATTTAAAACATTCATTAATAAGATAACAACATCCAAAAGTTTAATCTATAGTGCAATTGTGCAATAAATAAATACTATCATTAATCTTTTGAAACTTCGTCATCATTATAATCAATTACTCTTCTTCGTAAGTATGTTTTTCTTTCATAACAAAAATATCAAGTTTTTCTTCTTTATAGGAATTTTACTTTTAAATTTTACAATCTAACTATTATTTTACTTTAATGTGAGAAACATTGTTGTTGAAACTCATGAATTTCTAATTCAAATTATAAAATCACAAGTTCTATAAGTATAAAAATACTCTATTATCAAATATATATAGTTTAAAAATATCAACGCTTATAATATAAATCAAATCATTATTAAAATCTAAATTAACCTATTTTTTAAAAATTTAATTAGATAAATTATTGTCTAAAACTAAATAAATCAAATTATTCTTTAAAATTTAATTTTAAAATGATAATAATAACTAAATATTTGAAATATTATTAACAATATAAAAAATTAATAATATTAGAATTATATAAAAAATTTAAAAAAACAAAAAAAAATTATAAAAGGGCCTAAAAGGGAGGACTGACCTTTTTAAGCCATCGACCCTCTAGGACCTGTTTCTCATTTGAGGGAAAAATTTTCAAACCCAATCCTTATAATTTCAAGGCCTAAATGGGCTGGCCCAACGGGCTTACCCCATTTTCCCGACTCTACTTTTAGATGATTTGCCAAACACCCGTTGTACCTTTTTTTTTTTTTTTTTGAATTGAAACACCCGTGGTATCTTTTAATCCCAAAGAACAAGCGAGCTCATGAACATTTTAAGATTTTGATCCCCAATGAGTCATTACTTTTCTCATATAATCCCAAAGTATCATTAATTTGTCACTACGTAGCAAACAAACTTAGGTAATAATTGTTACTATCTCTAATACTTAATATAGAAACTAGTTTGATTTTTAATTTAATTTTAAATATAAAATCCTAATCCACTTTATCTCTTATATTTATTCATTTTTTCTCAAGATACCCCTTATAGTAGTTATATAAATTAGCAAGAGTATTTTAAAAAAGACCACACATTTTTTGTTACAAATAACTAACTCGACAAATTTCTTTAATTTACTCAAATTAATCAACCAGCTTTTATATTAAAGAATAAAAATAGTACTTTACATTGATCTCCTTCCAAGTAATCAAACAAGCCCTATGGGTAATTTTAGTTACTCCGACAGTAATTAAGAAAAACTCACTTTCTCAACTTGACTTCCTAAGAATGCCTCAATAAATATGTTTTGCCTCCGTATAGGATGTAAAAATATTTCTCTTAGCGATTAGCGTATAAGATAGGAGCATTGTAAGTATAACATAGCTTTCTCTAATGATCTATCATATAACCTTACTCTTTTCGTTCTATTTTCATGATATAAAACATTTTAATTTAATGAAGATAAAGCCCTCAAACTTTAAACCAGATGCAAATAAGTCATGAATAAAACTAACTGTGAAGAAATTATCTACATAAATATAAAGGTTTTGAAGATTTATTAAAATTTCAAACATTAGGAAGATTATTTAACATAAAGCTCATAGGGGCTATATATAATTTAGCAAAAAAAAAAAATAATTTATATAAATATTACAACTTATTAATAGATTTAATTTAATATTTTACGTAAATAATGCGCACCTTCATTACATGACTTGAACTTATGCACCATTATGCATGCTAGCATGTCAGGTTTTCAGTAATCGTTTCAGTTCATTCTTAAGAGAAACTAAGTAGCTCAGAGCACAAAACCACTTTTGTCAAAAGTACACAGTACAGCAAACTAACTATGAACATGAAAACCTACATTTTACTACAGATTAAGGCAATTCAGTTTCTGTTCATTTGATGTCAAGGCAACGATAAAAACGCTTCATAAGCGTTTGGGAGGAATATACTGCACACGCTCGTCTTCACAAATAGCCTACAAAAGAGTATAAAATGATCATATATACATGCATCGGCACACAACATTGCTTCTATCTAAGATTTAAGTGAAAGAAAGGGGAAAAAAAATAGAAACTGAATTTCCAAATCCTTTAATACCTTTCAACTCTTGTCATCTTAAGTCAATTCTTGTGCGGTGTGTGCCATGTGTTCCCAACCCCCCCCCCCCCAAAAAAAAAATTAGAGGGACAAGTATTAACAGCCTAAGATTACAAACGTGATCGAATTTAAAACCTCACATTTGCAAAGAAACTTCCATGCTACTAAACTATAAGGCTATTGGCAGTGTGGCCATGTCTAAGGTCCAATATGTGTCTAATAGCAACAAAACTCTTTCTACGGGGGAAAAAAAAGCCACACTTCATAAAGAGGATCGTTTGTCTCTCTGTTTCAGGACTCTAATAGGAGCCACAAAAAGATGAATTTATTGTACAATCAAAACATAATAATTCACCAAGGGGTAAGAAAAAATAAATCATGTTAGTAGGTCATTTGACCCAATATTGATTTATCAAACCTTGTACTGAAAAGAGATCATTTAGTAACCAAATATGCCATGAGCAGGTTGATGGGAAATTACAAACCTGCATTTCTTCAGGAAGAGCCTCTGAAACAGCAAGAGTGTAAACACCAGGAAGAAATTTTCCTGCAATATGTTTTAAATATAACCTTAGATTCCAAGCCGTAAGTGCAATACAAGATCTAAATTCAAAAAGAGATTTGTTGCAATTAATATGCATAGTGTGAATATTGTTGAATGCCAACAGCATATAAAGTAGATTGTACGCTGACTATTATATCTCAATAAACAGTGTGGTTTAAATTGTTTGGCTTGTATCATCCATCTATTAAGACAATTAAATGTTGGTCAAAATGACCAGTTACAATTCCCACAGAAGAGGTTTCTCTTCATCTCTGCCACATTTTACATGATATTTAGAGCCCAAAAAAAATGGGAAAACCCTCCATCTTTTAAAAACAAAAGGTTGAGTCATAACATGAAGAAAACAAATGCTATAGACTTCCATAAGTAGCAATTAGCTCCAAATAAGCATAGCAACCATAAACCATCCTTACTAGATGTTGTCATAATAAAGATCTTCTAAAAGATACACCATACACCAATCAATGTAAACCTCAGTGGGGGGAAAAGTTTCCAAGACCTTTTCATTAATGGGTCGGCACCAAATCTTCCACCCAACAAGATAATGGCAAGCTCTCTCCAAAGGGAAAAATGTCAACTTAAGAAACAAACCCCAATTTCTTTGCCTTATCACATTCTTCCCCATTTCATTTGCTAATAAGGATGCATCATCAAGAACTAACTTAGAACAAAGCATACAATCAGGCTAACAAGAAGACATTAGTTATGAAAATAAAATTCATATCTGTTGAACTCTAATGGAACTTGTAAAGCTTTCTCACCAAATCCTATTTAATAATGTTCTAAAATTCATGAAAGAAGCCCATTGCAAAACAATCAAGCCCTGATGGCTTTATCTATCCAACCTCAACTCTCCTATTTCTATTTTCCTTCCCCCTCAGAAGATCTGCTGCTGGGTTTCAGCTAAACTATTCAGCAAGCAACAACATTTAAACCTTTAATACAATTCTCATCTTCAAGATCCAATTTCTTTACCAATCTTTCCTTGTTTTAGAAGCAACCATTCTATGAATTATTCACAACTCAGGTCCCTAAAGCTAGAGGAAGTAGGCTGCTGCTACAAGGTCAGAGCTACACTGATGACACCAAAAAAAAAAAGTCAAGTACACGCCTAATAAAGAGAAACCAGAATGGCAAAGTTCCCTGATTTTCAGGAGATCAAACCTCCCCCCACTGATTTGCATTCAGATTCTGCCTACCTGCCTCTTCTCATCCTCCCTTAACTCTATTCGTTCATTCTTTTCTCTCTCTGTCTCCCTCAAGGCGCAACCCAAAAAAGGTACTGCTGAAAATAAACAAGCCCCCCAATAGCACTCTTGGGTTCATTTCCCAATTTTCCTACAGATTCCCCCACTACCCCACTAGTTCTATCAGAAAGGTAGTGATGAAAATAAAATTTATATCTATATAACTATGTCGTAGTAAGAACCCATCAAGCACCCTGACCAAATCCTCTCTAATAGTGTTATATAAATTATGAAGCCCAGGGTAAAACCATGAGGACCTGCTGACTTTATCCATACAGCAAAAAATCGTCCTTATTTCCTCCTCTTCAAAAGGTCTCAAAACCCAAGCCACGCCAAGCTACCTTAGCCAGAGAAATCAAGCACTAAACAAGACCTCAAGAAAAGGCCTACAAGGAGAATCCTAGACAGAGGAACTAGAGATAGATTGACTTTAATCCTCAGCAAAATTTAAGACTTTAATATATTTCACATCTCAGGCTTCAATTTTTTTGTTTTTCTAATTCATCTTCATTGTAGCCATTAACTTTAACAAAGTTCTTGAGCAAGTGTCCCTCTACTCATCTTTGCTAGAAATAACCCACTCTAATTTCAATGTATCCAAGAAAACAAGTAGTAATTTTCTCAGTCAAGACCCTATCCCTGACTTTGAGAGCAAGATAAGACTCGTTATAGACCCAAATTGATAGAAAGAAGATCCCCCCCCCCCGGGGGAAAAAGGAATTTCCCTCGAGTGGCAAGTGCAAGCTAGTAAAACCATCAAGAAATGAGAAACGCTTATGCTCCCTTATTACAGTGTCGTAGCAAGACCTTTTAGCACCTCTAGCTTTACTGTCATCTCAAATGAAAATAAAGCAGCCAAGGCGTTCTTGGACAATAAAGTAAACCACCACTGCCCTTTCTCTCATACAAAGACTGAGCAAGGCTAAATAAATCTATCAATAAAATCCACATTCTTCTATATAAATAATAGTTTCTGATTTTATTCAATTAATTAAAAGGCTTCCTTGTATGTAAGTAATAGTTGGTGCTTTGGAAGCAATTCACAGAAATAAGTTCATTTTGCCGTTACAAAGCTTTGTCAATGAAAGTGAGCACTCTTAGAAGCAATGAAAGATGCCATTATTCTTGGACTCCTAGGATTATCTCCGTATACGTGTGAGGAAAGATAGAGTTTTATTTGCAGAAAATCATATAGGATATATTACGGAGCCTAACAGAAGACAAACATACCAATTCGCAACCAACGTGCAGCCCAACTTCGAGATGGATCCATGACTGAAATTATCCTGTGAAAAGTACGAAGAAAGGACATGAAAAATTGCAAATAATAAGACACTTTGTCTAAACGAATGCACGGCAAATGCAATGTCATAGAGGTTTTAGTCAAACATCCATACCCATTAAAATTAGGAGTTGTGCAGTCAACAACACGCTCATGGTCTTCCTCCATCTTAAAGAATGGGCAATTCTCGCAGCCTGATTCCCTGAACTGTTGAGCGAAGAAGCAGATACAAAGTTAAGTATAGCCTAAACCGCATACTGTTTCAAGTAGGAAAAAAGAAGAGTCCAGCGGAAAACTAACATTAAAAACCCTAAAACATTCTACGAGAAGAAAGAAAGAGAAAGGGAGAAAGAAAAAAACAACAATGACAGTGCATATACTTAAGAGGATGAATTAGTAGTGACCTGGTCATAGGTTTTGACAAGGCGGCAACGAAGACAAGCCCTCAGCTCATGGCCAAAGCTACTGGGAATTTGCGCCGCCGTACTTCCCATTTGGATTTCTTTTCGTGATGTGTTTCTTTCCTTCTTCTTTTTTTCTTTCCCAGATGAGCCCAGAACGATGTGGGGACTGGAGACAACTACAAATATTAAAAGATTTACCAGGTGAGCTGATGGTGTGGTGACGGAGAAGAAGCCATACAAAGGCGGGGCCGAGGAGTGAGGAGGAGAGGACGACGGGACAAGTCCGAGGTCGATGTGCCAGAGCGATCGGCAACAGACACCAAGCAGGTAGGGAAGAGAACAATTTGGGCATACGGCCTTAATAAGACCCAAAAACAAGACAAACGGGCTAGCCCACTTAACACGAGGGGCTAGGAGCACAATAGTCAATTAACAAACTTGACTCGACATTTTTTTGATAGTGCAAAAAAAAAAAAAAACAATTTTTATATAGCTTTTATTTGAGAAAACAACTGCTGGTCAAAAAAAAATTTTAAAAACTCAATTTGTATATATATAAAACTACAGCGTATAAACATAAATTGTTAAATTCAACTGATAAATATGCATGTTTGACTTGTAAATATAAATTTGTTAGAATATTTCTCAACTTATGTTCCCCATAAATGATTTCCTCATCATATAGAATATTTAGCCCGTGTCTCTTCTAGGGGTGCACATGGACAGGGCAGGACCCCTACCCGATGCCTAGCTCGAAGTATGTGCCGACCGCATTCCAGCCCTGCTTGTAGAAGCCCTAACCATTTTGGGCTAGGCATGGGCAGGGCAGGCTTCATTAGGGGTGTTCATGGGTAGGGCTGGGCAGGACGAGCCCCTTGCCTGATGCCTAGTTTGAATAATGAGCGGGCTGCACGGCCCTACCCGTAAAAGCCCTAACCATTTTGGGCTGGGCAATAACGAGCTGGGCAAGGCGGGTTTCCCTGCCCAAGTGGTGACGCCCTGCCCTGCGTGAAAAAAATCCTTAGTTATATCTAAAAAAGACATTCTATAGCATACTTTTTGCCATAAGGAAGCAACTAATATCACATCTATAGCATACTTCTTACTGACATTAAGAATGATTGAAGCAAGGGAATCTGATCACAACTATAAATTAATGAATACTTTAATAAACAAAACTAATTCACCATAACATTCTTCGTAACATTGTCCAACAATAAAAAAAAAAATCCAAATTACAATTCATGATCATGAATCTATAATAACTCTCAACAACTAATCAAGATAAATCTAACTCTTCATAACATAATAGTGAGTATTCTTGCAACATTTTGTAAGTGTCTCTTTAAAGACACCATGCCATGCTTCATTGGGTCACAAGTAAAATGTGCATTACAATAATTACATGCAGCTCTAATCTTTCTATTTGTATCCTCTAATGGTAACTTAGCACAATGATCCCATCCAGACTTGTGATTATTGCATATCCATTGCTTTAGAAAGATAAATCACAAATAAATTACTAATTAGAAAAGGATGAAGCATCTAAAAAATAATATATAAAACAATATTATAATTCAATATATCAGAATATAAGTTGTCACTAAGATAAGAACACTAAAGTCTACCTAGTCAAATTACATAGCCATATCAACAAGTTCCTAGAATCAGCACGTACTGTACTAGAATTAACAGCAAACAATTTGTGACTACAACCAAAAGTAAATATTCCATTAGAATTCCATGCATGAATATTATTTATTGTTATAAACACGTGAAGTAAAAGTACATGAAATTCACTTCCTCACCCATAATAACCTTATAGTATCATAATCAAATTTTCGTAAGTTCTGTAAATTGCTTCTTTTACACTATTCATTCATTTCCTCTTCACAAGTCTTGGGTTAATATAACAGAATGTTCATGAATAAGCATGACTACTATTTCAAACAAGATCGATTCTGTCCATAACAGGGGAGAGGGAAGAGTTTATCAATTTTACTTCTATTGTTACCCAAACACTTTATATACACCTCTAAGCGTATTTTATGTATAATATAGTAATTTAATGCTCTAGCGTCATATTATTGTGCCTCAAAACAGTGATCCCCCCTAAATCATACCATTATGCTCATTTAAGCATTTCCAACAAAAATGAACAGCACTTCCTCCTAAATCAAAAAAATTCTACAGCATCAAAAATACCATCCTAACCATCATACTAGAGTCTTAATCATGCTTATGCTTTAATTCTTTGAGACAAAATCAGTGTTGATTCTGAATATCACACGGTAAACAAAATTAGGAAGAAAACAACAGCACATACACAAAATTGAATCCCAAATTCGAATAATACACCTTCATAATTCGCACAGCACCAAACAATGGCATTTTCTAATGACATGCAACAGTAGATATAATCTATATAAGCTTTAATCCATATTCTTCTATGATTATTTCACTCCAGCACCATTTTCTCTTCCTAAAATCAAATATTAAACAGCATATTCCTCCCCACAACATCTTAGTTGAATGAAATAAGGATGGGAGCAGTTAAAGGACTTACCTTGGCTTATTAATAGGTTTATGAGTGAGATTCTTCCTCTCCGTCTTCTCTTCCCTGTCTTCAATTTCTTCTGAGAGGGAGACCAAGATTGAGAGACCTAGAGGGAGAGGGAGGGGGAGACGGGACCAAGAGGGAGGGGGAGAGGGAGACAGACACTGAGAGGGAGAGGCAGACGGAGACGAAGACTGAGAGGGAGGGGGAGATGGAGACTGAGAGGGAGGGGGAGACAAAGACCGAGAGGGAGAGCGAGAGTAGACCGAGAAGGAGGGGGAGACTGAGTGACTACGTGTGAGAACCAGAGCAGAGGGAGTCGCGGTTTTGGGGGAGGAGGGGCAGCTAGGGTGGAAGGAAAAGTAATATGAAAGAATTAAAAATAAAAAAAAATTGAAAATATAAATTTATCTCGAGCAGGGCAGGGTACCCTGCCCTCGACCCGGCCCTACCCTGCTTGTGATCAGTCCTGCCCAAAAAGTGCCCTTTTTCTTTTGGGCTTCAATTTTTCAGGTCGGGTTGGGCTTTTTTTCTCTGGGCTCAGGCGAGCACATCGGGCGAACGGGCATCATGAACACCCCTAGGCTTCATTGCCCAAAAATTGATGCTCTGCTCATATCATGAAAAAAAAAATTCCACCTATACCTGAAAATCACATTTCATAATTCTACATTTTAACACATTAAAATCATCCAGAAATAATCCAAAACAAGTCTTAACAAATATCTAATTAAATAACATCAATAATCCATCTAATTAAACTGATGTGGTTATGGAACAGATTTTAGGACAATTACACAGGACATAATCGACAATCAATTTTAGAGATATGTATCACATCATAAGGCACAAATTCTATACAATCGAATCCATTATATCTTCAGATTTAGTAGCATATTCATTTTCTCTGTTCATGAGAAAGAAACTAAGGAGTAATTTGGTAAACTGGTATCTAGATCCTGTAATCTCACATGCAAAGGTATCTCAGATACTAGGATTGGATGATGGTATGGCATGTTGTTATGTGAAGATATAGTGCTCGTTTGGATCAGCGATTGGAAAAGCTGCTTATTGAAAAAGTAGTTTATGGATAGCTAAATTGGATAAGCTGAATTGTGTTTGGATTGAAGTTCAGAAAAGCTCGTTTGCAAAAGTGAGATTGGTAAAAAGTTGTTTGGATTATGGTTGAGTAAAAGTAAGTTTGGTTGTAAAATGACCAAAATGGGCATGAGTTTTAATAAATAATGAAAAATGAAAAAAAAGACTTCACATAATACAATGGAATTAAAATAATTTAATATGAAGAAGTGAATTAAATTTTAAAATTTTAGAGAAATAAAAAAATTATTTTAAATATAAGTGAAAGAAGAAAAAAAAAGAATTGATATAATACAATGAAGAGTAAAATTTAATGAGTGAATTAAAATTAAGAACTTTAGGGAAATCATAAGAAATATTTAAGAAATGAAGTGCAACATGATAAAAAAAAATTAACATAATACAATAAATTTAAATTAATTTAATACAAAGAAGTGAAATTGATTGAGTGAATTAAATTTGAAAGCATTAGAGAAATGAAAAAAAATATTGTTAATATAAAGCTAAACGTAATTTAAATGGATAAAAATGTTTTGAACTCCAGTTGACAATGTAAAACAAAATAATATTACATAATTAATTAATTGATAAGCTATGAATAATTTGGTCTCTGATTGCATCACGAACATGATTCATATGCGGTGAAGACTGTGATGTAACATTTGAAGGCGATGGTTGACTAGCTTTAGCCTGATCATGTTCGGCCACTATATTATCATTTTCAGCTTGTTCAAAAAAGAAGTCAGAGCTTGAATGTCTCCTTATAAGGTTATGAATGGCCATTGTTGTACAAACCATGTTTCACTTGTGTTTGGAAGTCGTAACTACGCATGTTTCGTAAGATGTGAAATCTATTCTTCCAAACACCGAAGGTTCTTTCTATTGTGCACCTTACTGGAATGATAATAATTGAAGGCTTCGTTAATATTTCGGAATCCTACTTGTCGTCGGAAGTTCGGAAAGTGGTAGCGCTCAGATCTGTATGGACCTAGATATCTATTTGGTGTTGGATATCCCGCATCAACCAAGTAATATTTCCTTAATGATTCATGAAACAATTTGAGAGATTGTGAAATGAATAAAAATATGAAATAATTAAAAAAACATGCGTGATTGGAACTTGTAAACATATACCTCGAGGTAGATGAGGGAAATTAAGAGATGAATTTGTAATAGCACTGTCAAATATACGAGCATCATGTGCAGATCCCTCCCATCCTACCAAGACAAAAGTGAAACACATATCTCAATCACATACAGCCATGACATTTTGTGATGGATTTCCCTTTTTGCCAATAAATTTGTCTCGTTTTGCAGCAGGGACAACACAATGTATATGAGTGCCATCAATTGCTCCGATTACATCCTTAAAAAATGGATAATAACGTGGATCAGTCTCAATTTTTCTATGAGTTCCACGAAATGTAGGATCGATGGGTCGAATAAGTTCACTCAATAGGCTAAGGCAAGCTTGCAGTACATTCTAAAAGTGCCTACTTACAGTTTCCACTGAATGTTGAAACCGTTCCTGGATCATCCTATTGCATTGTCCATGTGTAACCGTGTTTAAAAACTGCGACCATTTCTTCAATTCCTACATACTTAGACTTTCGTAAACCATGTTCCTCTAATTTAGTACATAAGAGGTGGAAAACATGTTTATCCACTCTAAACATTTCGGGACATCGATCGTCATGCCCCTCCATAATTCCTTGTACCCATAAGTTTCCTGTCAGCTCACTAGTTCTGCAGGGTTGTTTATACATACACATTTCAGAATAATGACCAACCAATGCACCTACTACTTCATATTGTGTTAATTCTTCATTAATCATGGATAAACGTGTTGAATGGTTATCTTCATTCCACTATGAATCATTATCCCAATTCCGCAAAGTATCTTCATTCCATGGTGAATCATCATTCTAATTAGCCATTTCTGGAATTAACCCTGTAACTGTGATGACAACAAAGTGTAAACATTATAGTTACCAAACTAAACAAAGTGTAAATAATTTTCAAACTGCAAATAGAAAAGCAAACACATAGATGAGAAGTAGAAATTAGCATTAATATATTACTTAGTCATTAATAACGTTCCTACAACAGGCCACATCAGTTTAGGTTAAAACAACAATCAGTTCAAGCTAACAAGTGCAATAATAACAGTGAAACAACTAAGTCATAAACTAAATCCTATTCTGCAGGTCCCTTCCATGTGTCTGGGTCTTATGCTGCCGATATCAACCAACACAACAACTTACGTCTATCATGCATAAAACCCAAATAGGCTCGCCTAGCCCACCTTAACCGTGTAAGCATCTTGGCACATGCATAATATAGTTGAGGGTCATCATTAAGCTCCTCAAGGCTAGCTAGGTGTGCCAAAACCTTGTCAACTAGTTAGGGATCTTCAACCAATGCTGCTGCTCGCTTGTCAGAAGCAGCTGCGATAACACTAAGGCTATCAGAAATTTTAGTAGATGCAACAACTTTTTTCTTCTTCTTCACATCAGACATCTCACCCCTCTTCCTCTTTCCATAGCTTCCTGAGCCACTTGGTCCAGTACTCGAAGGGTTGTTTAAATTGCAACCGGCAAAGTCATCTGTGACCCTTGCACTAGCTGTTGGGTCAATACCAAAATTTTCATCCTCAATATCCCCCGACCCTTCTTGTTGGTCGAGCCTAACTCTATAAACATCCTCCTCTTTTGTGTTAGGTTGTGGAGCGAATGCTGGCTGAGGCTGCGAGGCTGATGGTTTGTACATATACTCTCCCGAAGCCACAACATCTTTGAATATCTTCATTAGGTCTGATGCGAACATCAACCCTTGATGTCTAAATTTTTTGAAATTGGGATCCACCTACATTAACGTAATTAGGCAAGTGTAAGCAATGACTAAACTGATATTTAAAATTAAAACTCAACTAACACAAATAGTTACCATTAATTTTCGTTGCCACCACTCATCAGAGGCCAACACCCTATTTGTCGTTGCATCATAACCAATGCCAGTCTCCCCAGACATAAGTTTCTCCCACAACTTCCAATCCTTTCTCAAAATGTCAAATCTATTCTTAAGTTGCTTCCTGTCATACATTTTCCCACTCCTTTCCTGAAAACTCTCTGTAATTTTGTTCCAACTGGACCTCGTAAATGACGTTCCTTGGTGTTCCTTGTGCACTATTTGCTCGGCACAAACATCGATTAGAATTTTCGTCGTGTACGGATCCCAACTCGCTTTTGCTTTTTCATTATCCATTTCTAGGTGGAAAATAATATAGATAAGACTAACAAAAGCAAACAAAGCACCAAAAATGTTCAAGTTCAAGTTACATTATGTAAGAAATAAGTTCTACCCAAACAAAAATATATGTTATTTACATATTCTTCTCACCTAAAATTAAGAAGAAACCCCAAGACAAAAAAGTATTTGGATTAGAATGACATTAGACTATTTAGTCATCGCTTTGAAAACCTTGTCTTTCCTTCTTCTCTTCTTCCCTCATTTTATTTTTTTTAACCACTAAGTTAATATTTTAACGGTTTAGGTTTAAGTTTTTTTTTCCAAAAATTATTATTAAAATATTAAATGATAAAATTAAATAAATAATAAATGATCAAATTGAACATCACATATTGATCATACGTATTGTTAACATATTAGCATAAAAATTTGTTTAGTATCCACTTAACAAAAGTAATATTTTTAAACAACAAATCTCCCACATTTTTCCTTATATTTATATATGTATATATTTGTTCATGTTCAGAGGTTTTCGTCATATGGAAGCTCCAGTCATCCCATTCGCAAAGAGAGATAGAAGTAGAACAGGATAAAAAGGAAAGGCAATAAATTAACCTCAAGCTCCAAAATTCATATAGCACAGAACTTAGCAATTCTTTCTGTTAAATTTATATAAACATTATAAAAGGAATACATAGAAGCCTAAAGATGATTCAACATCAAATAATCAATCAAATAATCAGATTCAACAAGCAGAGCACTAAAACACGGCACTGAACGAGAGCAGGGATGACGGTGAAGGGAGTGGCGTTGATCGACTCTAGGGACAATTGCCATTTCACCAAAACAGAGCACTGAACTAGACCAGAAAAAAAAAAAACAAAAACAGGACAAGACGGTGGTGCTGCAGAGGAAACATTTCCGGGAGGAAGGAGAATGATTTTCAGTCAATTTCAGGGAACACAGCACTGAACCTATGCGAAAAAAAATAGGACAATAAGGGGAATACAGCACTGATCATCACGGACAGCAAGGAAGACGATAGTTACAGGAATCAACAGGGGATGAAAAGCAAATGTTCTATCAGCTCACACATAAATCAACACACACACAACTCCACATGCTTGGATCAATAGCGTATCACTCCCATATTCACCGAAAACCAACACAAAAATAGGAATCGGCCAACCTGTCACAGATTAGACCAACTAAAGCTTGCTAGTGGTAGATCGGACACTCTATTTGAATAGGACGCTAAGATCTCGACGCACACCTCACATGCACCAGCAGATGGCAGTGACCTAGGTTGGAGACGCCGACAGTAGCTCAGACAAGGTGGAGTCATGATAAAGGACCAAGCTCTCGGTCACTCGAAGCCACACCCAACATGATGACCTCACGGAGGAGACGTGACAGAGCTCACAGCAACCAGGTCTCGGTGGTTCTGGTGAGGACGCGACAGAGGATGAGGGGAGGTAGCTCGCGGTTCGTGGAGAATGGATAGCTCTAATGCGAAAGATAAAAAAAAGAAGAGTTGAGGAAATGAGGGATATTGGCTGAAGAAAGAGAAAAACAACCATCTGACATCTCAACGGTAAAAAATAAGCTCTTACACTGATCCAATAAGCCAAAAAAGAAAGCTTGGGCTAAAACGTATGTTTAACAGCTTAAATCCCATAAGCTGCTTTTTTTTTAAGCCCAACCAAATAGGGTAATTTTTCCAATCGGGCTTACACTACAAATAAGCTCTTTTTAAGCCCTCCAAAAGCCCTGCCAAATGGACCCATAGATAAACAAGGCAATGTCTGAAATAACACCTTTGATAAGCTAATGTTACAATATGTTGTTGAATGACCAAAATCTTATATCACTTCATATCACAAAGTGCAATAAATCTTTGTCATGTTGTCAAATTTTCCCTTATATTTATTGGTAATTAATTCCAAAACAAAATTTATTCATATAAATATTATAACCATATAAAGTATAATACAAATGTTCAAAAATGGCATTATACTTTATTTTCCACATGAACAAATAAGGAGGAAAACCATATATGAGATTTTTAAATTTTTTTTGGATATCTTTCTAATCAAAATTCAAAACAGTAACCTTATAAGATTTAAAGGATGCAACATATAAAAATTAAAGAGTAGATTAGAAAGTTCAAGAAGGAAATAAGATTGATTTGGATGCTCCATCATGTCTTCCATTACTAAAATGTAAGATACACATCTATTATTATACCAAACTCATATTATGAGTACCTCATTTTCTTAACCACAGGATCTCATGCCATAGCTTGCAAAAAACTATTATATTTAAGATCAACGCACACCAAAACTGCCCAGAAACTACTCCTAGCTTTTGAAATGCCATTATTTTTTTCACCTCCAGAAAGATTACTTGCTCTTTGCTTACAAGCTTAGCGCAGAAGGAAAAGGAACAGGGTACCAACTTATTTAGCTAAGGCCTTTCCATCAAGGAGTGTCCCTCATAAGTCATCAGCCTAAACTCCAGCCTCAGGATCATCCACCATTACCTAGATTGTTGCTATAACATAGAAGGGGCAAAGTATTTACAGAGTCGAATAAGGCCAAATACCTCAGTGTTTGGTCGGGCCAAACGGATGTGATTGAAATGAAAATATATATAATAAATATGTATATTCATAATGAAAATGAATAGGGACAAGACTTGCCTCTTGCGATGTGATTGAAATGAAAATGAATCAAAGAAAACCTATAGCCAAATAAATTGTTAACAAATGAAAAACAATATTAAATTGTCTTATTCACCACTCATTTCAGTTGATTCCTCAACCCTCACTGGCTCTTTATCATCAGTGTATGGTTGAAGACCCTCACATGAGTTTTGAAGATTTTTACACATAATAATTGTACTTGTTCAAATTCAGTTACTTTTAGTTAAAATTCCTAAACAGGTAGTTTTAAACAATTTCTCCTAATAAAATTTATTATATTCAACAACTATACATTACATTTTAGTTATATTTCTATTCAATAACTAAACAGGTAGTTTTGAAGACCCTCGCATCAGTGCATGCTATGTGATCCAAAAGACCAATATTATATTTTAAGGAATTTGGGGGTGTAATTTTAGAGACATTATCAAGAACACCTAAGCCTACGAATACAACAATTAAAAATTGGTATCCAAATCAGGCAAACACCGATGATATAACTCTGCAAAATTGCAAATCGGGCAACTGAAATGCAATTCAAAATTGTGAACAGACAAATCGATCCGTTCTTAGCTTAGTCTTTGAACAGGAAATTAATCAGAGAAAGAAAGACCTAGCCGATGCTTTCAATCTTTGTCTTCTCTTGTACCCGCAAGAAGGAGACAAAAATCACTGGAATGAGGACCCAGCTCTATACTTGCAATCTGCAGGTGCTAGCCAGGGAAATTTCCACTCTAAGGGGAGCCTAATCAACATGGAAAAATGGGGCAACTGAAATGGAAATAAGACTGACCTGAGATGGATGGGAGAGATGGACTGAGAGGCTGCCTTGCTGATTCAGTGGTGGCTGATTCGTTGTCGATGGCTTGCCGATTCGGTGGTCGCTGCTTCATTGTCACACCTTGCTGCTTCAGTGGTATCTGCTTCGCTGGTCGATGGCTCCCTGCTTTGCTGTCACTGTGAGCTACCGGACTGACTGAGAGGGAGACCGAGAGTGAAAGGGAGACCGAGATTGAGAGACTAAGAGGGAGAGGGAGACCAAGACTGAAAGGGAAGAGCTGAAGATGGAGACCGAGACTAAGAGGGAGATTGAGAGAGGGACCGAGAGTCCGAGACTAAGAGAGTGAGAGCTTGAGAGGGAGACCAGATCGAGCAAGAGACTGGGAGAGGGACCGAGACGGCGAGACCGAGAGAGTGAGAGACCAAGAGGGAGAGCTTAGAGTCAGAGCAGACTGAGAGGGAGTCGGGACTTGGGGGGGCTAGGGCTGGGTTCATGATATAATGATAATAATATAAAGGAATTAAAAAAAACTAATATATCTCGGGTAGGGCAGGGTACCCTGCCCACTGCCCGGCCCTGCCCGTGATCTACCCTGTCTAAAAGTGCCCAATTTTTTTTTGGGCTTCAATTTTTCGGGTTGGGTTGGGCATTTTTTGCCCGGCTCGGGCAGACGAGCATTATGAACACCCCTCACTATCTTCTTATGGTACTTAGTTCAAAATTCTATGATATTTTAAAGGATTTTTCTGAAAATATCATATTTTGTCATTTTCCCAACCCTTAACAAACGATCTTTTAAAAAATACTCCTCCTTAATTAGCACCACATTTAAAAACAAAAAATTATTCGGGCACAACAACTTTCTTAGTTTATGAAGACTATTGCCAACAAGATTAAATTAATTCTTCATAAAATCATTCCCCCTAATCAATGCAATTTTGTCCCTAGGAGACTCAGTTCTAACAATATTATTATTGCTCAAAAAGTAATTCACTCAAAAAAGATGGTGAAGGAGCCTGAGGCTTCATGACTATAAAAATAGATCTTGAACAGCATATGATCACGTTAGATAGTCAATCTTGCTGAATCATCTCAAAGAAATACACCTATAGGAGAATATTGTGAATATAATTGAGATGCTTTTATCATCGCCAACCATGCAAGTTCTTTAGATTAGTAGCAAGTCCGATACATTCCATCCATCATGCAGTGTGAGACAACGAGATTCCTTTTCTCCATACTTGTTCGTTATTTGCGTGAAGAATCTCACTCATCTCGTTTAGGAAAGCATTGCTATTGAGGCTTGGAGACTTCAACAAAGGTCCTCCCATCTTCCATCTCCTTTTTACAGATGATCTCATTAGCTTTGCAAATGCTAATTTAGGCCAAGTGCAGGTAATCAGGAATTGCCTCAAAACCTTCTACGATGCCTCGAGACAGCCTGGTGAAGAATTGGGATTCACACGCATAGCAGATTTAGGTAAATCCATCATCACCTTGGCCGTCCAAACTATGAAATTGCCAACCAGT